TACCAGGTCCAGTAAGTGCCATGTGTGAGTCTTCTTGAGCTGCTCCTTGGAAATGGTGACTAGCCACTCAAGGAGAACTGCCTGGTCCTGGCTCCAGCACCGGCAGAGCCAGCACACGCAGAACATTTCTACAGAGGGTGTTGGTGTCCTTGTGGCCCCATCTCTGCTGGCAGTAGGTGGGTCTCTCCTGTATCCAGCAGCTGGTTCTGCAGAGCAAAGGACAGAGACGCTCTTTGTGAGAGTTTGCAATGTTTCAGAGATAATATGCACTGTACAGAGAGGCTGTGTGCCTCCCACCCTAAGTTTGGGGGTTGTGCGTGCACAGGTACCCAGAAACCATGATAAATTTCCTGGTCCTTTCACAGGAAGGACTGCTAGATGAACTTTTTCTCCCTGCTCCCACAGCAGAGGCAGGTGGGCTACTTGCCACAGGCACCCCTGTCCCCTACTCAGCCCAGGCCATGGCTGGCCTCTGCTGGCAGCTGCCACAGCAGCTCCAAATCAGTTCCCCTGCCTCTTCACTCTATGGGCCAGGCACTTCACTCTTATGCTGCCGGGCCTGAGGCACCTGGGTTCTCAGGGTGAGGGGCTCCCACCCAGCTGGGACACAGACGTGGTGGTGCCCCCTCCCCTGGTAGCCTTCTCCAGAGAGGTGCCCCAGGTCAGGACCCGTGCTGTGCATGGACTGTGCCCCAAGTCTGCCCCTGGTTAGTCACCTGGGCACACTGCAACTAGCTGTTTATTTGAGCATTTTTGAGGGCTGCCAGACCTGCTATGCTTTGCTGATGATGATTGCAATAATTGCAATGGTGCAGCTGAGAGCCTGGCACAGGGACCTGAGCTTCAAGGGTGCCCTAGGCAAGCCCATAACATGCACCACCACCTGGAGCGGTAATTCTACCTATGCTGCAAGTGCCTGATCCCCGTGATCGAGAAGGAGATCACCACTGCCATTGACAAGTTTCTCTGCATATGACAGGCCCTTAGCTTCCTAGCTGGGAGCCCACGTGGTGCTCAGTAAAATTTTGAACTGCCTCCTGCCTTCCTGCATGTTGGCAGGGGGAGACTCCAGCGGATGGGTAGGGAGCTTGGCCAGGTGGGGAAGGGAGGGGAGGAGAGGGCAGGACCTCCCCTGGCCCCAGACATGCAGCCCAGGGGCAGGGGGTGATTTGGCGGAGGCACAGGTGGCCCTGAAACCCTTTCTCCCCTCATCCCTCTTCCCTGTGCAGGGCTTTCCGGGCAGGTGTGGCAGCTGCTCATGACAATCTGACGATATCCCTGGTCATGGAGAGGAGGTCCAACTGACCAACACGTGCTGAGGCACAGCACATGGCCACCCAGGCTGTGGCTTCCTCAAGCAACAAGCTCAAGTTGGCATGTGCAGGAGCCATCCTTGCCAGGCTGGCCAAGCTGCTGGATGAAAACAGGGAGTGTGCCAGGACCTGGCATGGGGGCCCTGAGGGTCCCCCATGCAGAGAGTCCTCCTGGCCCGCAGCCCCCTGACTCTGGCTCCAGCAGCCCACCCATGCTGCAAAACATGTTCTGGGCTTCACCAGGGTCCATGGGGGCCAGGATGCAGTCCAGTTCCTTCAGAAAGGGCATGAGTCTGTGGGCAGGTCTGGACCACCTGTTGTGGTCTTGGACACGGACCCACTGAGCCCTGAGGGCCTTTGCCTTGACCCAGAACTGGTAGATGGACTGCCAGTGTCCACACTTCTGCTTTGGCCCTTGATACCTGGCCAAACTGCCACTGGATCTGAACATCCACCCAGAAACCGATAAAGGTCCACTATTTCTTCATGAGTCCAGTTGGGCACCTGCTTCTGTTTGTCAGCAGGTGCAGGGCCTTCCATGACAGCAGCAGGCAGCAGCCTCAGGAAGGGCAGGGTCAGGCCTGGGCTCCAGGTGCCAGTGTTGGTAACAGGTGCCCACAGCAGTGGGGCAGGGTGCCCAGGGGGCAGGTTGAGGCTGGCAGGGGCCTTGGCAGGCCAGTCATGGGGTGCAGGTGCCAGCGTCAGATGGCAGATGCCCACAGTGGTGGGGCACTATGCCCAGGGGCAGGCTTGGGCTAGTAGGGGCCTCAGTCGTCCAGCTACAGTATCTGGCTGCAGGCAGCAGGTGCACACAGTGGTGGAACACATTGCTCGGGGGCAGGCTCAGGCTGGCAGGGGTTTTGTGGGGTCAGGCCTAGGGTCCAGGTGGTAGTATCAGGTGATGAAGGAGCTGCTCATGCCATTCAGCTCCTGAAGCTACCGAATCATGTGGCCCAGCAGCAGGTGAGAGTCTGACCCCCTGCTGGCTCAGCTGACCAGGCATAGGCCATAGAACAGAGTGGGCCACCCAGACCATGGCCTGACCAACTTTTAGCACATTAATTTAGTGAGCTATGCAGTTAAAAAAACAGCTATACAGTTTTAACCAGAATGACAATTGTGCCTTTGTGGGTTATATAAATTAACGTCCTAAAAGTTGGTCAGGCCATGGCCCGGGTGGCGCATCCCATTCCACAGCCTGTGTCACTGGGTGAAATTTGCACCTGCATCACCATCTACACATACATTTAAGCACAGTAATTTACTCCACCGTTGGATAGTACTTGTGTCTGAAGGTACCGTCCAACAGCATAGTAAATTAGTCTACACTGTCCTAATTGCCACACACATGTAGACAGTGACACTTTACTGCACAGCAAATTAGTCTACTGCAGTAAAGCACACATGTGGATGCACTCAATAAATGTAAACCTAACCCTGCCACATGTTGAAATTAAGGTTCAATAGAAACAGCCAGAAAAATATTGCACATTTTTTGTGTAATATTTTTGTGGCTAGTCTCAATTTCTGTGGTGCCATTACTTGTCTGAATTTGTGGCCGGGTTACTATTTAAGGTGCAGTTTACGAACTAATCGTGTCTTAAGTGTAATGCCTGCTAGAGATCTAGATCCCATGTCTTTTGGCATCTTCTGTAGCGCCATACTCTGTGGATGACACCACCTCCCTTAAGAAAGAGATACTACCTATTCTTTGCTGTACATCAGCAGAATTGATTACTAGGTTCCAGTAAGCTACATCCATGCAAGCTTACTAAAGGCAACAATGCTTTGCAGGTATCATCAAGTTCATACTCTAAAGACAGTAGGCTTGTGCGGTTGCAGAATCTGGGTGGCAGTTTTTCATATAGGTTGTGGCCTTTGAACTCCACCTTGATCCTGTACTCCAAGCTGAGTTTGAAAGAATGACCATTTAGAAAAAAATCACATCTTTTTAATTGTGAACTGAGAATATCTGTTCTGGAAACCACTGAAGATATGGAACTCTACTGCTATTTTTACAGAGCATCTTATGTGAATAGAATCGTGTTTTAAAGTCCTGACCAGAAATGATCTAGTTGTAGGACTTGAGATGTAAAGTCTTTATGTATTCTAAAATGATCACTGTATATTTAGCAACTATTCCTTCAGGTACTTAACTGATCTATGTGGGTTAAAGGTTTAGAACAACCAGGAAATATAAGTATTACTGAAGGATTTTTGAGTTCCCAAGGAGTCCTTGAATTCTGCTAATAATGCTAAATTTTAACTGTCCAACTTCAGAGAGAATTTGGAGATTTTAAGTATCAATTTGAGTATTCAGTATTGAAAAGAAGCCTAGCAGCATATTCAACAGGTTTCTGAGGGTATCCCACTCTCCACTGGTGGCCTATGAGTATGGCATATTGCCATTATTTTCTGCCTTCAATATGTGAACTGAGAATGCTGACACATACTAAGATCACGCAGTCCTTTTAGGCAAAAGCTGCCAGCATATTGTATATCCATCAACCTATCTTAAATATTTAAATGGTACCCCTTACAGTAGCATTTGAGCATCTCCCAGCCTGTATCCTCAAAATACCCCTCCAGTCTTGGCAATGTAATTTCAGTTATCTCTGAGTGGCTAAGGGAGTTGTTCAAGGTCTTGCCAAACTCTGTCTTGGAGCGGTGGATTGGACCTAGGTCTCCCAAGTTCTGGACTAGTACTTTAATTGCTGGATTCAGCTTCTGTTCTGTCATATTCATAAAAAGACAGCAAGTTTCAAAAGCTATGTCCCTGGATTTGTGTCCGTGACTATATTTTGTTGTTATATTTCCCTGGAAAAACGAGGGACCTGAAAAAGAGAATTTAGTTTCAGTTTGCTGGATGTGGACCATAGACTTGTGACATACTGCATATATTTCATTCTACTGTTTGCCATCTCAGCCACTGCAGCTCTTCTTTGTCATCGCAGGCCTGATAGTTATGTCAACAAGTGTCAAGTACGAGTCAGTTTAATCCTATTTGTATAAAATACCGAGGAGCCAGAAGCCTCCCAAGCAATATAGTAATCCACTGCAGAGTTGGGAAGCCCATTGGGAATTAACCTGAGGCTCAGTACACTTATGGTCTTCTCTCTGAGATATGAGCTTCCACTTGCCAGGTGTTTAGCTCAGTGGTTAGGCTTTTGAAAGTTGTTTGCTGTTTTTATTATAAAGAAGTTTTGTTCTAAGTGATGTTACAGGCAACATCTCATATTGTGCTTTTGTTTTTAAATTGTTTCCCCAGAAAAGAACTATCCAATTGTTTTTCTTTTCTAAAACATAAAAAGGGGGGAGGAGGGGAGGGAGTTTGCCTCAGTTTCCTGGTTCCTCTGAAATGGAAAGAAATTATTGCAAAATATGTATATCTGAGACTTTTGACCATATGTTTTACAAATTTTGCTTACAGTCATTGGAAGCTGTCAGAATCTGATGAGTGCATGTCACTCCTTATGAAATAAAGTTACCTTCCAATTGTATTGTAAAACATCTTCATATTTATGATTGTGGTATTTGTGGTGAAATTCTTTTTTTCTTTGGGAATGCTTAACTAATGTCTATTAATAATATATCATATCTATTTTTTACCCTTTCCATAACGTGGTTTCCGTTTACTTCTCAAGAAATATTTTAATATGAAGTCTCATCTGTCCATTTGTTTAACAGGTGTATATTTTGCACCTGCAGCTGATAGCTTGCAAGATTTTAAAGAATACATTGAAAATCTTCCTTTGATTGACGACCCAGAAATATTTGGAATGCATGAAAATGCTAATTTAGTTTTCCAGGTTTGTTGACTATTTGTAAATACACATTCTAAATGAATTATGTCTAAATGTATTATACTTTGTAGCTTAAAGGGAAAATTTGATTTAACAATTACAGTTTGTTAAGCAGATATAACAAATTGTAATTACAAGGCTGCCCACCCACTACTCATTACATTGCCTTTCTGCTATATGGAAAATTTGGTAAAGACCTCCAAATTTTTCAAAATAATTTCCTATCCAGCTGCTTTTTAATGAAATACATTCTTATTTTTTCTAGAGAAAAAAATGAACACTAATGCTATCTTTATTTGACATAAATCAGCCATTTTTCATGAGCTAACAGACTTTATAATTTCTGACTAAAATAAGAAGTGCTTTAAAGTGAAGCTGACAACCCCGTCAGAACACATACATTCACATTTGTTAAGTCCTGTGTATTTTCCTGGGAAGGAGCCATCCAGTCTTCCAAAATCCTTGTCAGGTACCACCCTCACAGTGGTCTAAACAGAGTATTGTAACACGTGTACAAACAATCGTGATAGATAAAGACCAGTAATGTGAGATATTAAAAGCAGACAACGGGCTCTAGACAGAAAGAACGGTCTTGTGGCTAAGGTGCTGTTCTAGGCTTCAGGAGACGCTTTCTCTCATCATCCCTTAGTCTGTTTAATTTGAAAACTCTCTGATGGTTTCAATACATGTACAACACCAGACACAAGAAGGCACAAATCTTGAGTACTGCTAAGTACTACTGATACTGTAGTGATAACAATGATTTTCCATTAATGTAGCAGATATATCCATTGGCCACATCCAGACAAGTGTGGACGTTTGGGTCCCCAGAGTCAAGTAGCAGCAGTGCACCTTGCACCGCAGATGCTTGTCCCTGGAGAGCGCCCATGCCACGCACACTTTGGCGCATGGCAAGTTACCCTGGGGGCGGTACGGGAGGCTGGAGCCAGCACTGTGCTGGTCCCAGCAGCCTTACCTGGTGGCTTCCCAGGGCTGCAGCAGTGGTGATCCTACCACTATTTGCACAGCTCTGGGCAGTCGGGCTTGGCTTTTCAGCGGTGCGCACTGCCCAGATATACAGGGGTCAAAAAAACCTGTGGAAAAAAACCGGAGCAGCACACACACGGGTAGTATGCCCTTGCAGCATGGTGAGCACCTGACTGTGTAGTATGTGGCGCTGCAGATGTGTTTGTGGCACCACATACCACATGTCCGTGTTTGTCTGGACATGCCCACTGTGTGCATTATAAGGCACTGCTGCTGCCATGGCTTGCCTGGCACAGCTCTACCAGTGGATATGTTTTTCCTGGTGGCGGGAACCCATTTCTTTTAGCAGAGCAGCGTGGAGACAGAATGTTTTGCCAGCAGAGCAATATCAGTCAGAGGATTGGGTTTTTTTGCCAGAACTTTGCATTGTAGACCACAGTCATCCCCTAGACTGTTTGGGAAATCTCAACTGTGCATCAGACATACTGTCACCCTCACAATATACTTTGTCATCCCCTGAAGTGAGTTCTAATCCTGTTCATTTAAATTCTAAATGAATTAACATCAAGAACATAGTTTAGTCTCTAAAAAGTTTGTATTATAGTTACCCTTTCAGAAGTAGGTCTTGAATTGGGTACAGATTTAAAAGAAATATCTTTTGTTAGGCACAAATGCTGAATTACAAAAAGAAATTCTACTTTGTGCCTGTAGTGTAATATTAATTGTAAAAATCTATACTGATGAAGCAATAAGCTTAAGGCAAAGCACCATAAAAACAGAAGATTGTCACGCCACCTAGAAAAAGCCAGAAGATAAACTACCCAATATTTAATAAACTTTATTCCTGGGGGATTGAAGCAGAGATTTCATAACTTCCCATGCTAAGGTAATTAACTAAAAACATTACAATTTTAACTCTGCTCTTTATAGCTTCAGTCAATAACGTACTGCAGGGAGTTTTGTGACTGAGTTAAAGATATACCGAGAAGCACATGCTCATTTCACACTTCTTCCTGTAGGAATCTATAAAAAAAATATTGTTATACTTGTAAAGATCAGTGAAGAAAGATGTTAACAAATATACTTTAACCAATTTTAAATGACTGTATTAAATTAAAGTGGCATCCAAGGTACAGAATTCAGTGCAGAGAAACAGATATACTTTTGGAGTAAAGGTTGGGAAAATTTGAAGTTTTTTCTAGCTTAGCATTCTTTATTATATGCAGAAGTATGTGGTCAGTGAGCTTTTTTTCTCATGGTAAGAGTAGCTAAAGAGAGTAACAGTAGAGAATAAATGCCTATTGACACAAATTACATTTGCAAGCAGATTAAAAAGTAATAACATGATGAACAAAATCCAAAATGTTTATTGTAAGTAAATCATTCAAACTTGAAACAGCTTTTAAAAAACGAGAGGTTGATATGAAAACATTGAAATAATCCTTACAATGGCAATTTTTTTAAAGGAACACTGCTTTTTTTCTCCTCTGTTTATTACAGCGTAAAGAGACTAACACTTTGATTACAACAATACTTGAGGTTCAGCCGAGATCAACTACACAAGGGTCGGGAAAAAGCAATGATGAAATTGTTCAAGAGCTTGCTAGCACCATTCTGACAAAGCTGTCACGTAAGATAACATTGCTAATGTGTTTTTCCTAGAGGTGCTGCATATATATCATGGGCAGACAAGGTTCCTTGCGTGAATCTGATATCTTTTATTAGACCAACCCAAAATTGTTGGAGAATAGTTATTAAGCAAGCTTTCGGGTTCAAAAATCCTTCGTCAGGCTAAGGAAGTTTCAGCAGTTGGTGTGTGCTCTTCCTGGATGGAATGAAAAGTAAAGAAGCCAGCGGCTGGGCTGGTATGCATACAAGACAGGCAGTCAGTGAAAAAGTAGATTGAGGAGTCAATGGGTGAGAGACAGGGGTGGGGAGAGAGAAGGGGGGTGAAAGTGGAGAGATACCTGGGGAGTCAGATGTCAGGCAGGTTATGATGTGTCATAAATCCAATGTCTATATTTAGTCCATGATTTTTAGTATCCAGGAGGTTGATGAATTGGAGTTCATAGGTTCGTCTCTGGGAAGTGTTGTGTAAATTGCCCTTGAGGATCAGGACTGAGAGATTGGAGAGAGAGTGGCCCTCCTGTGAGAAATGTGCCTCCACCGGTAATTGAGTGTTTCTGTCTTTGGTAGATTTCCAGCGTGCGTTCATTCTGGTGCGCAGTTGTTGTTTGGTCTCTCCTACGTATTTTCCATCAGGGCATTTGGTGCATTGGATGAGATATATTACATTTCTGGAGGTGCAGCTGTAAGATCCAGGAATGCTGATGGCTCTGTTGTGGGGTGTAGTAATTGTGGGGGTGGTGGAGATGTGTTGGCAGGTTTTGCATTTCTTGTCCTGGCACGGTCTGGATCCTTTTGGTGTGTTCTGTGCTTGAGGAAGTTTGCTTCTGGTGATGAGGTTGGCGAGGTTCGGTGCTTGTTTGAAGGCCAGGATGGGTGGCTCTGGGAAAATATTTTTAAGAATAGGGTCTCTTTCTAGTATGGGTTGCAATTGTTTGAGGATTTTCCGTACAGGTTCAAGGGAGGGGTGATACGTCATAACCAGCGGTGTGCGATTTGTGGGGGGTTTTCCTCTGTACTGCAGCAATTCTTCACGTGGTATCCGGGTGGCTCTTTCAAACATGGGATCTATCTCTCTGGAGGAGTGTCCTTATTGGGTGAAAGCCTTTTTAAGATTGGTGAGGTGGCAATCCCGGGTGTTCTCTTCAGTGCAAATGCGGTGGTATCTGAGGGCTTGGCTGTATATCACAGCTTTTTTGGTGTGTTTGGGGTGATTGCTGGCTCTGTGCAGATATGTATGTTGGTCTTTGGGTTTCTTGTATAACGTGGTCTGTATTTTATCAAAGGAGATGCTGGTGCTGGAGTATTCTAGAGAAAGTTGGATGGAGGGATGGTGATTGTTGAATTTCTGATGGAACTCAATCAGAGATTGTAGGTTTTCAGTCCTGGATACTAAAAATCATGGACTAAATATAGACATTGGATTTATGACACATTATAACCTGCCTGACATCTGACTCCCCAGGTATCTCTCCACTTCCATCCCCCTTCTCTCTCCCCCCCTGAAAATATGTGTTTGCAGAACTTGTTAAAATAAATCTATATACACTGCATTTTAAACTGTAAAAGTCAGCATAATTCAAATTTAACCTAAGGAACTTGCTGCTTAAAAAGGAGGTTTTCACAGAAATACATGTTGGTTTTACCTTTGAACGCCTTCCCAGAAAATATTGAGGCAGCATAAAAAAGAACACAGAAAATGTATATGGGTAATCAAAACAATCATACTTACACTAGCTAAATTGTACATTTGCACCCTTATACTTCCAAATGGCTAATAGCTGCTTGGGGTTGGTCATCAGAGCTCTCTCTATTCTTATACAAATATAGGGTTTTACATTTTCCTTCAAAGATTCTGAAGCATCTGTTAGAGATGCGATTTCTGCAGAGACAATGGGGCAGGGGCCTGGTCCAGTTTGCAAATGCTTGTATCACATCCTTACCAGTAGTATGCAACATTGAGGCATAGCAGGGAAACCACCACCAAAGAGGAAACTACAATTCAGCAAAGCATTTGTACATATATGCACTTAAGCACACATAGAAATGCTGCTGCACTCATTGAGATTTAAGCAAGTGTTTAAAATTAAATAGATACTTAATTGTTTCTCTGCTCCTTAGTCAGAAAAGCCTCTTAAGGTTTATTCCTGAATGTGAGGGTGTGGGCTTGGAAGGATATAAACAAAATATACTTAGCTGAGTATTTGGCTCCGGGCTATATGGCCTGGCAGAGCAGCATTGCCTTCCCAAATACCTGCTTCCTCTTCCATCGTCCAGGCAGCCATACTTAAATAATTTCCCCGAACCTTTGTGCAGGAAGAAGGAGAAGCTTAGTTATAGCTAGTTGGTCAGGTGAGAACAAATGGTTGTCTCTACACCTTCAGACTAGAAGTTTTAAAACATGTAGTTACAGACCATCTTTCTGCACTCAGATCTGTGCTGGGAGATACCTTTACACAGTCTCCCAGTCTAAATAATCAGTTGCATTCTGGCAGACCCTTGTGCATATTAAAGAGCCACACTGACTTTTTTGGGACTTCTAACAGATGCAAGGGTCCAACTGTGAAATTCTGATTACAATGTTAGAGCATAAACTATAAGATGAGACTTAAGTATTTTATGTAAATAGAGTACTAAAATATACCTCTGTAAAGATGCATAGCTAAGAGCCAAGGGAATGTATTATTCAAACTGTTCACCAGAAAACAATTAAGATTCCTTTCATGGAACAATAGATTTATTTTATTGCTATGATATCTTGTCATACCAATTTGTCAAGATTTTCTGAACAGTCATAACTGTCAAGTTACTTAAAAAATATAGCAGTTTTTTTCAGACGTACATCTTGGTGCAGTTAATATGCAAACATGCCAGGTACAATTACTTGCACATTGTGTTTTTTTCCCGAAACTCCTGCCCCAGCTGGCCTACATCAGTACAATTCTTTGGTGCCTCATCATTTTGAAGGCATTGAATTTGTTGCTGTTTTGAAACAAATGTGCATGAATATCTTTGCTCTCTCAGGCAACTTTTTAATGTCAAACAGTTTAATTATTTCTATTTTGAGCAAAGTACAAAGCCTCCATTTTAAATTGTGCATTTGGGAAAGCTTTTTCAACAACATTCACAATTTATTGTGAAGGAAAAATGTTATTTGTAGTTCCTAAATTTGGTGATCTATTTTCATTCTTGCAGTGCTACAGATTCAACAACAGCACCATATAGAAAATAAAATTTTACTGGTAAATTGGCATAGCTCCACTGATATCCAGCTGAAACTAAGAATTTTCCTGTGGGTATGAATGCAGTGGCATGATACTGCTGCCTCCTTGTCTTGTGAAAGTCCGGAGGAGCTATGGTGCACAAGTCCCAGCTATATGCAAACTCCACAATTACCTTTACCCAGAAGGAGTTGAGAAAGGGAGACTAGTGGGTGCATTGTGAAGTAATCTATCAGACATCCTCTCTGTGTAAGGGAAGGTGAACTCACATGGACTACTTAAGACCTGAGGCTGATGCAAAAAACACTGGAGCTCAGCCCCTGGCCATAACACTGGGGTGGGATTGAGTATATGCAGTCTTTGCAGTCTGAAGTACTCCTCACTGAAGACTAATTTGGAAACCAGGTGTCCTGGGAATGAGACTGGCAGTTTTCTAGCCAAGAGATACCATTGTCCTCGTCTCCCTTCATATATGGTAATGCAGTCCTGAAAAACACCTATAGTAAACTATTAACAATTTTTTCTGAGTAGAGAGTGCTTGTATTGCAGGAAAGCTGGACATGGAAGCTGCTTCAGAGAGCCTTTTCATCAAAGATGACCAAGGCCGTCTGGACTCTTTAACAACTGTGCTTGGGCAAGAAGTGGATCGGTTCAACAATCTGCTTATGCTATTGAGAGTATGACACAAATCATTTTGCAGTCGGGAGGAGGAGGGTCTGTACCAGTGGTTCTCAACCTTGTTAGACTCAAGGCACTCCTCATTAGACTCAAGACACCCCTTGGAAAATGCCAGGTGTTAGTTTTCATTATTTTTAGCTACAGAAAAATAATAGAGTGATTCTTCTGTTACAGAGAACTCAGAAAGACCACAAAAGGTCAGAATGTTTTTGACACGATGGATTCCTGTTTGAAATCTCTGTGTTTATCTTGCAAATAATATTTGCAAACCTATCAGTGCTAATATTGTGCCACAGTACTCTGGTTGACAATCACTGGTCTATACCATAATCCCGGGGTAAGCAGCCTCCAGCACAGGTGCCAGAGCATGGCGTACAAAGGCATTTTGTTTGGCACGTGCACCTCGGGGCAGATGGCGAGGAAGGGGCTGGGGTTGCGTTGACACAACAAGGATCAGGTTCATTGCGGCTCCCCCACTGTCTGCCCCTGACACGCCAGCATTTTACTAAGCAAGGTTGCAGGTATTTTTGGCACTTTGCCCAAAAACATTGTTGACCCCTGCTATAATCTGAGGACAGTTCTCTAAAGCCTCATTTACATTTAAATTATTCCCTTTATAAATGTCTGTTCACTGGGATTTGGCTATGCTCGATTGACTTCCATAGTAAAGTTGGGAGTTTTCATGAATTCAACATTTTAGAGGTATTTAGATATTTTTCATCAGTTTAAGATAAAAATCGGAGTTGCCAGCAAGTCATTGTTTACCTCTTTACTGAACTGCTATCATTTGAATATTTGGGGGCTTTGCTACTCTTAATATGGTTTTGAAAAACATTAAAATGAAAATGGGGTATACTTTCAAATTATTCTGGTACTCTGAATAGCTTCTCATACAAGCAATCATTTGAACTGTCTCAACAAACGTTATCATTTTATAGAACCCTTGAGCTGTTTTAGTAAATATCACTGATTTCCATAAGCTTAGCAGTATCTCAGTAAATCTTTCAGAGTAACTTTTTAAATGTGCGCCTGCATTGAGTTCACAAAACAAGCAGACACAAATGTAGAACAGGTATTTACAGGCAGAATAGTTAGTTAAATCCTGACAGCTTTTTTTCTGAGGTTCTGAGCAAATACAGCTTGAATTGAAATCAGCTGAAGGGAAAG